TTGACCCTGTAGACGTTTGCTTGCCGGACTTCCGGAAACCCGCCGCAGGTGACGTTTCGGCCTTGGTACGAAGTGGTCCGGAGCCCAGGACATCAGACCCTTAGGCCCCGGTTTGTCGTGCGGGCGTGAGCTATGCGGTTTTCTCCTCGTTTCTTGCGGCTCGCATGGTATCCGTTTTGGTTTCGGTTTGAAGGGAAACCAAAGCACAGCAGCTTGTGTTTTGTGTGGGGTGGGGGGGGTGTCTAAAGGGAAGCCACCGGCCATGTTGGTTACAAGGGGTGGGTGAGTTTCAAAATAGCCCTTTATGGGGTACCCTCAAGAATGACAAACTGAAAAGGATGCGTTGCCATGTTGGAGGGTTCCGATTCCTTGAGACAAACCCATGAGTAGGGTGGTCAAATCCGTATGTGCTTGGGTCCAGTAGCCAGCGCTGTGTGTTTTTGTCTGATTGTTGGTACCTCTTTTTGGTGGTTTGAACGGGACACCGAAGCAAAAACACCATTTTGGGGTCCCGCCCTAAAAACGACGCACCCAAAAAGGGGTCCACAAAAAATCCTTGTCTGTTTTTGTTGCTCGCAGGACATACTTGTTGGCCACGTCTGGCTCTGGCTCTCTCGTTGCTACTCCCGAAGTACACTTCTGTAGCACCCGATGGCTCGCAAAAGCGCGGCTTCTTTTTCGGGTCCCTAGGTCGCTTCCTTTGCATGCCGGACAGAATCCTATTCCAGTTGCCCGTCTCTTTCAAAGTATGAGATCAACTTCTGACAAAAGAAGGTGTTGTCCATGGGAAATCTGATTTTAGAAACTCACTTCCCGAGTTTCCGGAACTTAGACGTTTTGGGAAGACCATGTTGGTGGTAAATAGACAGTTCGGCCATTTTGTTGGCCACTCCACTCGGGGGGAAGTGAGGAAAACAGCATGTCTTCGACAACTCCGCAAATACCATTGGTACAGCGTCGTGTGTACCCGAGGACATGCCGGCACCGTCTCGGCGTCTCGAAGGAGCGTGCGCTTCGAGCCTTGAGACTGGCTGCATCTGCTTGTGTGTGTGCGTGGGTATCCTGAATTACATTGAATGAGCGAGAAACCAGAAGAACATCCGCGTGGTGGGTCCCCCATTTTGGCACATAGCATGTTGAATTGTCCAAGGACACAGAGGTGCACTTGTTGTGTTGTTTTCCAGACCCCGTATTCAGCACTTAGGGGCAACGACCAAGACCTGGGTTGTAACTTGCTTGCTCAAAGGCTCAAAACCAGCCACGACCTACCCAAACCCACCCTTAAGCACTAAGCCAACCTTGAACCAACCCTCAACCCACCATAAACCCGCCTAAACCCCAGTCTGCCCTCACTCTGAACCAGAACTGAACAAGCCTAAACCTGCCCGATACAAACCCTAAGCCAACCTACGCCAACCATACACCCACCATAAAGCGCCCAAATTCACCCTACCTTCCCCAAACTCAGTCTAAACCACATATTTTGTCATGCCGTGGGTGTTGAACGCGATGCTAGGGATGCTGACGGTGCTGGTGTAAAACACTATATAACAAACGCTGTAAAACATGGCATTCTAGCTCCTGCCAAACCTATGGGACAAAGAAGAAACAAAACGGCCCGCCGACCTAGGGACAAAACACATCCAACCAACCCCCCCAATGCTTGACAGTTTTGATTTTTGATTGTGCAATACGCGTTTTGATCCTCTACCCCCTTTTAGGTGGAAGGGTCATTCTGAGCGCTCTACACGTGTGTGGTAGAATGTTAACTTTGGATGAATCAGGAGGAACAGCTAAGATTCCTCAGATCCGTCTGGTCCGAATGAATCCAAAGTTGGCATTGCCTGGAGAGTAGACCGCCACATACCCCTCAAACGACTGTTTGCCTGATCATCGGCCGGGGTACCCGCGCTAAGGGTCATGACCCTCCAACGCAAACCCCGGACAATTCCTCGGGTGCCAGGTTGCAGGGGTTTTGGACTTCGGGAAAAGCAGCAGCGTGCTGGGACTTGATGAGTTCGTATGATCACCTAGGGCCTAGGGTTCAATCCCGTTCAAAAGAATGGCCTTGGGACCCAATTTAGATGAATCTCCTTACACAGACGCTCCGCAGGACCTCAAGACACACACACACACTCACACACAAAAGGGTGCCTCAAATAGCGAGCCTTTTTGGATGTAACGGGCAGTCGTGAGACTTTGGGTAAACAATGGTGGTTTATATATATATATACCCATTCTTTGGCGTGAATCCCAAACTTGCATGGTTTGGGCATCTTCTTTGGGTCGCCCGTTTACGTCCCCAAACTGAACCATACACCCTGAAGTCGATTCTGCCGACCAGCCAGAAAACCTGCTCGGGACTTGGCGCCCCGTCGGTTTCTCGCCAAGCGCCGCTTTGCCACGCTCTTGAAGCTTTTGGGGCAGGGTTCCCCTGCTAGAATAGACTACAGAAAAAAGGGTACCCTTATTCTAGAGGACCTAGGAGAGATGGGAGATGGGAGGGAGGGGAGGGAGCGGGCTGGGGAGGGTTTCTGTGGGAGGGGGTCCCGGCTGACTCCTTGAGGAGACGACAGCTTTGAGCGCTTGTTGCAGGGCAACATGGCCTGTGCCCCAGGAGGGCAACATGGCCAGCGCATCAAAGAGGGGGCTTCTAAACCTAGGGATCGCTAAAAATTGCCACAAAGGACACGGTTTAGACGTCATTCCCTCGGTAAAACGAGCGACATCGAGCGACAACTGATGTAGTTCCCTTGCTTGGAAATCCTAGTCTTATTCCAGGTTTTGGAGAACCAGCAATTTGGCCAGATATTGTCATTTAGTGGCAAGGTATTAGAATGGAATTTGCAGATCCCTGACCAGCCTGTTCTCCGTAGGGAATATGCATAGGAATATGGAAAGAGCTCGCTGATGGAACTGACGCGTGTTCTTGCCCGGATGTTTTTTTGTCCGGCAAGCAAAACTTGTCACAAATCATTGGTACCGAAACAGTGTGTGTGGGGGCAGGTGTTTCAAGCCGAGGAAACTTGACGTAATTCAGGCCATCGATGCAAAACCAGGTGCGACGTTAGCCCTGAACTTACCAGTGGAGTTGGCAAACTTTCAACTACTCCGGTGCAGTTTGTTTTTGTTGTTTCTTTTTAAAGGTCTGTTTGAACTGTATTTTTAAGTTGCCAGCCAACTCTGCAAGTCCATTAAAGGGGAACCCAAAGAACAAATACTGGAGAGGCTGTGGTAGGCGAGGGCATCCGGTTCTGGTTGTGCTTCTCAGTGCAAAGCAAGTTGGCCTTTTGACCCCTTTGAGCATACGGCGATCCTTCGGCCGTTCGCGCGGGATGTCGAAAGGTCAGAATACTAGCTATTTAAGCGATCCACAACCACAAAGCCCGGGAAGTTGCGGAAAGCTTCCAATTGCGCAAAAGCATTTTGTCCCTTGGTTTTTAAGGACATCTATCACAATGCATGTTTTTTTGTTTTTCTAGCGCACTAAACAAATGGAGGTAAGTGACATGGTTTCCAACCGGTGCCGCGAACTCCTAGGCATTTGTCCCTACGTTTTAACCTTTGGGGTTTCCCTTCGTTTCTGTATCTGCGATACTCAATGGTGCCTCTTTTTTGATAATTTCCCTCAAATTCAACTTCTCGGATGACCCCGAGACTCAATGCAGATGCGGATTTGGCCAAATAAAGAACCCCGACCGATTTCTCAATCGGACCAGAAGGGGTTTGGCTTGCGCACTATTCTTACGCGCAGAAAGGTCGCACATATCCGCGACTCCCTTGGCTCAAGTTGAAGGTGTGCGCTTACGCAATATTTTCCGGTGTAAAGCATGTCGAGCATGTCCGGATTGGACCACGGAGCCACCACCTTGGTTTTGAGGACAGCCACGCTTTGAAGCCGCACGTTAGTGTCGAGTTATGGCCAGAGAACCAAAAGGACGGGGCAATTTTGGCCCAATGAGAAATCAAGTCTTCGGAGAGAATAGCGCGTGGGCATTTGGAGCAGGGTTTCGGGGAGCAGTGGTTCACAAACTTTCTGCCCAGGCCCCCATGGCTTTGGATCATGCCTTTTTCAAGCAGGTGTCCATGCCAAGCTGGGGAGTGGCTTATACTTTGGTTAAGAGGGCGTCAAGGTGTTTGTGAAGACCGCTTCAAATGGTCAACAAAATGTAGTTTCCCCCAAGCGCTGCACGCTTGAGGGTTGTTCCGGGGCTGTTGGGGATACCACATGGGCTTTCGATGGCAGCCACCTTCCTTAGTCAGGGGCTGACATGATACATCATGCGCCATTGGCCTTTTGAGGCCTTGGGACGAAGACCTAAGACCATGCTGGTGATCCTGGCACGGTGCCACGCAATCCGTTTTATATATTCGTCCAGCTTGGAGGAGTTGCCTAAGTGCGCAGTTTCCTTGAACACTTAGGTGACCTAGGTGTTCAAGCCACTTCGCAAGTGGGCAATCAATATCCAGAGTGGTAAGGGAAGAAACCCCAGTTACCCCAATTTGCAGTTGACAGTGCTATCCTTGGCGTGACCACCGCAACCGGAAAAACGCGGTGCAGCCTGAATATATTATGTTTGTAGGTTCAGGGAAGCCCTGACCAGTTTTTGAGCAGTACTTGGTTGTTCCTTTTTAAAAGGGGGAAACCCTCATGAAAAATGGCCATGCAATAGGGGGGACGCTGCACAATCCCGGGTTTTTCAGGGTTGGCGAAAACGGATCAGTATCGGATGCGGCTTTTGAGGATCCACCTCGCTGGGACATTACAAGTGTACTGCCGTAAGAGGGGGTCGACCTCTCCACCTCTCCCTAGAAGGGTCCGTGCATGCACGTCCGGCTAAAAAAGTACTCGTCTGCCTGCCTGTCTGTCTGTCTGTCTGTCCGTCTGTCTGTCTGTCTATCGCTGTCTGTCTGCGTTTGTGTGCGGCGGGTGAACCCAAAAAGGCTATCCTCGGATCGATTTCGGCACTAGGAGCAAGAGCAAGATCAACTATCAGGGGATGTCACTCATGCTCTCGCAGATCTGTGGCGTCTCTTGGCTGATCTCTTGGAGTGAATATTTTGGATGTTGCACCCCTTTGGGGACTTACACCCAAGGCTTCCCACCCAGAAATCAGTGGCCACATCCTTACAAATTCGTTGCTCCTATCATCACGAATAAATTTTGACTTGCCATATCCCACAACCCAATAATATCATACGGATCATATATACATATTTAGGCCCTTACGTGCTTTGTGCAGAGCGGGTTTCGGAGCCGCTACCCCTTGAAGCAACTCCCCCTGATGCTGCCCCCGGAGGCAGCCGATAAATTCCACGATGACTTGCTGGGCTGTGAGATTCTCTCCGTGAAAGCAAGGGTCGGGTTTTTAGTGTAGCTGTTTCATGATTTTCTGAATCCAACTCGGGTGCCCTTGCCTTGCCATTCTTATGCGGGACCCCAAGGTAGCGAGTCTTTGCCCAGATAGAATCCGCTAGGCTTAGGTTGGGGTAGGGCTTTTTTGCTCAGACGAAGTCCGAAGGGTCGCCAATTTAACATCATGCCCATGAGAGAGATGCCACCCGCCCCGCCAAACGCCTGACTCGTCGTGCTTGGATTTAGTTTTGTGGACACGGCCATGTCTTTGGGTGGGATCTGCGTGTTGCTTTTTTCGCCTTTCACAGAGCCAAAGTCAAGCACATCAGTTCTAGACCCAGACTGCCATGAGCCTGACTTTTGGGCTTCATTCCGGGCTCGTTCTGCTTACCCGAAGATTCGGTGCTCGTTCTTGAAAACTCCAAAATCCCTCCCCAGCGGACCGGAATTGTGTCAGCCCTCTGCCCGAACTGCGTGAGAATTGGCTTGCCGTTTTTTCCGCTCAACCGAACTGCCAAAGGTTTAGTGGCACCTTTTGGCCACTCTCCCCACGTTTGGGGCCAGAGGACTTGCAGAAACGGATCGCGACGGGATGGCAGAAACGGATGGCAGGGCTTGCCGCTTGACCATTTTTCCTGTAAGGTTTGGAGAATACGTGTTTTAGTCTCCCTATCCAAACAAACTATGAAACCAAGTTGCCTCACCATGGCAGAGTAACTCCTATATGGGAAAGCGTATGTCCTCAGGGTTCGACGCGACGGCTTTGGGGTCCTCAAGACCGGTTGTTTCTTTTGGGGCCCTGCAGGAATTGGCTGGGGGTCTCCATGTAGGAGAGGTTTGGGGGGTCTGCAGTCTGTCCCAGTGTCATGCCCCCAGAGGTGTGCGTCGTTTTTTGTTTAAATTAGTGACTTTTTCCGTCAAAGCAGTCGTCCGTTGGTTTTCTAAACTCCAGCTTCGCTGCAAGCAGTCGTTGGAAAGCATCTCGTTCGTTAAAACAATTGCTACCCTCAGGGGCATGACGGAGAACCCATGGCCTATTCTTCAATGCTTCAAAACAGTCCCAATCTTGAGGGCCCAACAGCAATAGCAAATAGCCATCAAAGCGAGTTGGCTTTCCTATTGAAAGGGGGGTGTTCCCCTCCAAAAGTGATGAATTATCCCTGAACCCGGGGACACCCCCACTCTGAATGCGGAGGGTTTATTGATCGACGGTACCAAATACCCACCAAAATTCCAGGGCTTCGTAGAGTTGTTTTTTGGCCATGGGTCAAAAGCCCGTACCCCCAGTGAACATCCCAATCCCCACTAAAACAGACTAAAATGGGTGGTGCACCTACCCCAAAATGGTACCATTGGTTTTGACCCACAGCCTTTTGGTCTCGGCTCGGTTTCTCCCCCGAATTTGTCAGGGGCCCTTCTTCGACTACGTCTACGTGCCTTGGCCCAAGCTTGCGGTGGTGAACTTCATCAGCCACGAGATTTGCCAGGCCGCCTACATTTGGCTCAGCTGCATGGAGCGCCCTGGACGGACCAAAAAAGAGACACACCCGGGGAGAGGGAAGGACCTAGATAGCCAAGTTGCTGTTTTTGTTCAGTCACTGTTGCTGTTTTTGGGGGTAAAGTAGATGGAGAAAAGCAGCAACTGGCGATCCAGGGAGTCGTCCTTGGCGGCTTTTTGGAGGTCCCCAGCTGCATTGAAGGCTTAGGGCCTCAACATGCCCCTTGAGGACACAAGGTTTCCTATAGAGGGGTATACTTTTTTTTTTGGTTGCCGTGTTAGTTCATGATCTCTACAAAGCAGACCTCAAATGGAGAACTCGAATCACGACCAATTTCCTGGGCCTGAAGAAGCAGCCAACCACTTTGTCAGAACCAAACAGTCGAATCGGAACCGGGTGGACGGGAAACACAAGGGAACATCACCAACAAGTGGGGTCCCTTAGCCGGAGCTTTTTGCTTCTCACTCCCCGATTTGCGTTGTTGTTTTTTGCTTCTTGGGAAGACCACCATTTTAGTGGTAAAAGCACAGGGTTTTTTGCCAATGAACGTGAAGCAACGGTAACACTTTGAACTGGAGTTGGAACTGACGGGAAGTGGTTTTCCGTCCCAATTGGAACTCGGAGACGAGAAGCCGGGTCGGGCATAGACGTTTAGCCCGGTTTTCTGGCGACCACACAAAAAGGGCAAATAGTTCCTTCTTGAAGGCCAAAAGGGGCAGCACTTGGGATATCTAACCAGCTTGGCAGGTTATAACCATGGATATATTTGGAGCTGGTGCTGGTCCCTGGTCACCATTTGCTATGTGCTTTGAACGCCCGATCAGTTGTGAGCCTTATGGTCGATGGATGATGGGCTTATCATCCGCCAAGGCGCCCGCAAGTCCGCTATTCGATGGTTGATTCATAGGGGGTGCCTGTCTTGCGTTGTCGAACATATGCCAGGTGTTTCTCCGTGTACGTTTGTTTGTTCATCACCCAACAATCCATGATATTTCGGATCGTCCTAGGGTGTTCCTTAGAGTCGACCCCTGTTCGAAGGGTCTGAGCTTTACAAGGGCCGCACATTTTTTCGAATTCGCCGAGGAGTATGCAGAGCTATGGCCTGCGGTCCGTGAAGCAGGCCGTCTTCCAAGGCTGGCTGAAAAGCTTGGGCTTCAGGTTGCTGAAACTCGCTGGCTCTTGTGACCTTCCAGATCTTGTAAGGCAAATCAAAACGAGAAAACGTAACGGTCAACACAAAAGTTTGTTTTTTCACTACTTGCGGATGAGTTCAAGAGTTGAGTCATTTAGTTGTCGTAGTTTCTCGTTTGTCCAAAGTTAATTTTTGGATTTTGGAGGTTCCTTCGTTTTTTTTCGTTCATTGTCATGGCCCCAAAGGTTCTCCTTGTCTTTCGGGGTCCGGGCAACCTTCCAGTTTAGTCATCACAAGATCATTTTGCACCCTAGGGGTCACCCCAAAAACCCAACGAGCACAATGGAGAATCTGAATATATCCCAATCACTGAAAACCCGTCTTGCAGGGCCAGATCTCCCCGCCCCTAGTTCTTGGGTTTTGGGTAGACTGAAAAGGCCAGGTTTTGAGTTTGACCTTTTTGCGACCCATGGGAATTGCTCCGCAGCGGTTGAATCGACGCCCCTTTTCTGAATGATATATTACAAGGAGTCACTCTTTTTTTAAAGGTATGTTGCCTTTTAAACTTCGAAGGTGTTAGAACATTTTTGGTGTCACCCAAAAAGGGCCCCCCAATGGCGACGAATGGAAGCACCCTTTGAAGACTAAACGAATCGTGCCTGGTCACCTGCGAAACCATGGGAACCCCAAACCTGTCTTGGACTCCATGTGACGCCGATGTTGGAAACCAGTGTGTTTTTGTTTTCCGGCGCCTGCCCCCCTAAACAAAACAGCAAACCACAAACAGGGTTTCAATCAAAGAGAAGCCTGAAAACACATTCGGATGTGTCTTTTTTTTGACGGGGGGGACTTGTTTTTGTCTGGTTGCGTTTAAAGGGAAGCGTCAAGGACACCGAAACCATTTTGGTCTAGAAAGACGAGCCACCTATTCGGATCGGGTGCTATCCGTTCGAAGGCCTGGCGGCAAACCTTGCGCTCTTCTGCTCCAAGTCGGGGTACAAGGCAATTCTGGAGCCAGGCGACCTGTCTTGCGATCGGTGCGATAGGGAATGACCGTTCCGGCCCCGGGTGTTGGTTGAATGAAGCGCCTGTGAGGCTTCCCTTTCAGAAAGGAAACCATAGGGCGTGGGTTGTAGGAGTACGTTCCCTCATTCCCTGCTCAGAACCAGCAAGGTGAAGAACTGGTCGGGAGAGCGCCTGAAGGTGAGTATTCCAAGCAGGTTTGCTTCGAGGCCCAAAGTCGGGTTGAGACAAAATGGCGAAGTAGGTCGCATTGCTGGATCTTGTGGAACAAAAAAACGGAGTCAGTTTGAAAAGGCTCCGATGGTCATCAACCCATATTTTTTGACAACGTTTTGGGATCCACGTTGTTCCATGAGGGTTGAAGAAGCTGAACCAATCTTTGGAACCGATGGGTTCCTTTGAGTCTACCACCGAACAGCCCAGCGACAAGCCGGAAGCTCGAGCTGAATCCGATTTGGCAGGCGCTCCCCAAGTCTTCGCCAACGGCGCGCCTGTGCCACTCCCGCTTGCAGTGAGCATCTACTTGGCCAATCTGGACGACATCGACATCGACGTGCAGGCGAATTCGAGCCGTCATCGAGCGACGGACCTAGCAGAAAACGCCTTTAGGGTTCCAATTTAACGGGAAGGATCCAATTTAGATGAAACTTCTTAGGTAAACAATGGCTATGTTAACCCGGGTTGAATCCCACGCTTCATTTGGTTGCAAACTTGAGCACTTGACCCAGGGCCCACTTAGCACCCTCGATATTCCCTTGCCCGCTTTGTTAGGTTACGAGTTGTCAACCGACCACACACTGTATGTATTTGCAAGGGAAGCCGGGTTTTCAAATATACTAACCCTCCCCCAGAAAAAAAAAAGGAACTGACCAGCAAGGGGAGTATCCACCAGGGAAACCTGTTTTTTCTCACAGTAACTCCCCCAAAGAAAGAAGATCAGTAGGATATTTGCTGTTTGGGAAGCCGGGGGTTCCGGAAAATGGCTCGAAGCCCAAGCGAAGCTGAGCCTATGCTGAGCCGGAGAAGGCTGCCGTTGCCGCCTTTTCAAGCCAATCAAAAACGAAGAGATGTGAGCCACAATCAAACCCGGGTAGATGAAGGTTAGTACGGGGCAGTCCCAGCCAGAAATAGTTGCGGCCGCCTTCTTAGTTCTTTATACTGTTCTGGGTAGACCATTTTAGTACCGGGTTGTGATTGTGACTCATGTGGCTGTGGTTGTCACAAATAGGGTAACCCCCAAATGGCTAGCCCTGGTAGGTGGAAACACGGACTAACACCTGCGGTCCATATCATAGTGGAATTTGGACCTAAACCCATGTGTTTGTGCGACTCACAGTCCAAGATTCTGATCAATCAATTCCCCCCCACCCCGGCTGATGCTACTTCAGTGTTGGGCTGGAAAGGGCGATTTTTTTTGAGTAGTCAGTTTGCTATGGTGAATGCGGCTTTTCACATCATACCCTTCAACAAGTGGGTATTTGGAGTATTTTGGAGTAGGGAGAATGATCCATGGTTCATGTGGTGAAGCGATCGGGGAATCGATCAGAACCTTCGGGGGTGTCACGGTGTGGACTGGTCTCCGGGTGGTTTCGCACCAGAGCCCAACACCGCGCGCTTGAAGGTGAGTTTCCCTTTCCAAAAACGCACGTTTTCCCTGAGAAACCTACAGAAACATTCGGGTTGCTCTCCTTGGAGGAAAGGCTCCTGTTGGTCTTTATTGGGAACATGGCTCGTTTATGATGTGCAAGTAGAAACAGCTTTTACACCATGATGACTCGCTGGAACCAACCAGACAAAAACCGAACCCTTGAACGTGATCACACCCCTAACTTTGGTCAACCACCCTAAGCCCTTTGCATCAGCAAGGACCTTCCATTGAAGTGTTATTGACCATCGGAAGGCTTGGGTTTTATGCCCTCTTTTGGAAGGCCCAAACTGAGTTCGTATCCGAGCGTTTGGCAGGGGCAATCCAAGCAAGCCCTCTACTACGAGAGTGCTGCCCTTACCTGCCGCCCTAGGGCAGTGATTGCACATCAGGCCCCCTCCCAATGCGTTGGTTTAATCTGATGTCAAATGATGTCAGCCCTGGCTATAAATGGAGGCATACACCAAGGAGAAACAAGGTTCTTCCACCATACCTAGACAGAAGTGGGTATTTGGAGCAGGGCGTAGGTTTTTAACTCCCTTTGAAAGCATGGCAAAGACCCGCCATTTTGATGAAACTGCTTAGGTAAACAATGGTGGCGATCTGAACCCAGCCATTTTTAATGGTTGTTTGAATCCCAGGCTAGATGTTGATTTTGCCTTGCACCAGCACCCTCCAAGTGTTCTGCTTTGCAACCATGTCCAAAGCCCACCAAGTGGTCCCTTTAAAGCAGTCGTTGGGATTGTATCGGGGTTCCTGCTGGGTGTGGGAATTGGAGGATTGAAGCCTGGTTTCTGTGACACCAACGGAATCCCCTTCAAAGTGACAACGCGTACTGATACTCCCTACTCCACTTTTTTTAAGGGTATGATACCAGTAGAGCCGGCGAAGCCGGTGGGCGGAAGTGTCAATAATATAAAACTATAGTTATCTTTGTCTTTCTTGTCTTGATTATTGGTATCTTATTCTTCCTTGTCACGGTTTGTTGTTTTCTTCTTCGCCATTGTATCTTGCTTTCTTTCTTGCTGTCCTTCCTTCCTCCGTTCTTTCGTTCTTTCTTGCTCTCTTTATTTCTTCCTTTTTTTTATTTATTTATTTATTTATTTATTTATTTATTTGTTTTCGGTATTTATTTGCTTGTTGTCCTTGTTGTCTTTCTTTATGTTTTGTTGTTGCTTGTTTTTGCACCGTTCTTTATTTTGTCTTTGCTCTATCTATCTATCTATCTATCTATCTATCTATCTATCTATCTATCTATCTATCTATCTATCTATCTATAGATCTATCTATCTATCTATCTATCTATCTATCTATCTATCTATCTATCTATCTATCTATCTATCTATCTATCTATCTATCTATCTATCTATCTATCTATCTATCTATCTATCTATCTATCTATCTATCTATCTATCTATCTATCTATCTATCTATCTATCTATCTATCTATCTATCTATCTATCTATCTATCTATCTAATCTATCTAATCTATCTAATCTATCTAATCTATCTAATCTATCTGTCTATCTGTCTATCAATCTATCTATCTATCTATCTAATCTAATATAATCTAATATAATCTAATCTAATCTAATCTAATCCAATCTATGTATCTACCTATCTATCTATCTATCTATCTACCTACATCTATCTATCTAAATCTATCTAAACCTATCTAAATCTAATCTATCTATCTATCTATCTATCTATCTATCTATCTATCTATCTATCTATCTATCTATCTATCTATCTATCTATCTATCTATCTATCTAATCTATCTATCTATCTATCTATCTATCTATCTATCTATCTATCTATCTATCTATCTATCTATCTATCTATCTATCTATCTATCTATCTATCTATCTATCTATCTATCTATCTATCTATCTATCTATCTATCTATCTATCTATCTATCTATCTATCTATCTATCTATCTATCTATCTATCTATCTATCTACATCTATCTATCTACATCTATCTATCTATCTCTCTCTCTCTCTCGCTTTCTCTCTCTATCTATCTTTCTCTTTCTCTCTCTATCGATCTCTCTGTTTATCTATTTATCTGTCTATCTCTCTCTCTCTCTATCTATCTATCTAGCTATCTATCTATCTGTCCATCTATCTATCTATCTATCTATCTACATCTATCTATCTATCTATCTCTCTCTCTCTCTATCTGTGCTTAAACTTGCGAAAGTGCTGCCCCTGCCACAAAACCTGCACTTGACCTCGCGAAAGTGCTGCGCCTGCCACGACATCTGTACTTGACCATGCGAAAGTGCTGCGCCTGCCACAAAATCTGTACTCCACCCCTTGCGAAAGTGCTGCGCCTGCCACGCTATGTTTTAACCTTGGGAGAACTTGACCTTGCGAAACTGCCGCGTCTGCCACGAAATCTGCACCTGACCTTGCAAAAGTGCTGCGCCTGCCACGCCATGAGAACCTAGCGGAACTTTTGCGTTGCCGTGCCAATGGGCCCGCGCTCCGAGAGTGTTCCGAGCATGGTCTGAGACTGGTCCGAGCGTGGTCCGAACGTGGTCCGAACGCGGCCCGATCAGGCGCCGCGAACAGGCCAGCTTTCAGCTCTCCGGAGACGCCGATTCACGCACAGGGCCACGTTTTTTTGCGCATTTCTATTCTTCCACCACACGCGCGCCCATTTTTTCTCGGCTTATTCCTTCTCTTGTCATCTGTCCTCAGAGAGCTATAGCTTTCAATTAGTTGCTGTAACACGGAAGTTCCTTCTAAACTTCCTTTGATTAGTTGACCTGCCTTGGGAAGCCAGGTTTTTCAACACACACACCCAAAAGAGAAGGTGTTTTGAGGAGGAAGGGCAATCCCTACCAGCCCCCCAACGACTGGACAACACTTGGAGGTTTGGATTAGCAAAAGGCAGTTGAATGGTAGTTTTTCCCCGCCAAGAGTCTTGATCGGGTGGTTTCGCAGCACCTTGGAAAGCCAACAGGAAATATGGGTTGCCACCCCAAACTCGAGGTTTCCGTAGAAACCTACAAATACATTCGGGTATAATCGAGTTTTGGCTGCTCTCATGGTATTCATCCCCCAGGGCATCCGGAAACCACATGATCACACCCCTGTTCGCTTAGGTGGAAAGAGGGAGGCTGGGCTGCGGTAGCCGGATTTCTCGCATCGATCTGAGGCAAACACAGCCCAGCGCAGTCCGGGACAGTAAATCTCTTTCAAATCTTCCTCAATTCTTATTTGGATTTACCCGAAGCACCAACAAGGACCCTGCATTGAAGGGGTTGTAGGGACTGCATTGGCATTGTTCTGGACTTCAACATGCTCCTTTTTCAGTACCCAAGATGCTGAGGGAAAAGCCTTGTGACACCGAGGGACAGCCCGATGAGAGACACGTTCGCTGTGCCAGGCTTGCCAATTTCTTCGGATGGCCCGAGAGGGACCTGAGGCAAGAGCTCTCGGGAGTTCTGACGCGTTGCGCAGGGACCCTCCACGTTTCCTACATGTCTTGCGCTAAGCACAAGCAAGGATGATTTCCATTGAAGGGGGGGTTTTAGGGACCTCCATCCAAATGCTCCTTTAAGATGCGGGGGAAAGGACGCCACAAACCACAAACCCGATGAGAGACCCAGCGGTGCCAGGCGTGCCACTTCCACCGGATGGCCCGTGGATCACAGGGACCCGAGGCAAGTCTCCAGGGTTTGGACGAATTGCTAAGCATCGCGTTGTCCTCTACTAATATCAAACAGCGTGCCTCTTCAGTTATCGGGTGTTTCTCAAACTTCGGATTGGTTTGAAGGGGTAACCAAAACGAAACCACCCGCCTAAGAGGCCCCCAATGGTTTGCCATGGTTTTGAGAATGCTATTTAATTTATCATTTGACACACCCTGGGCAAACTTGGTTGGGATGGCGGGGGGTTTTTGCCCTGGGTGCCATCAGAGTGGGCTCCCACTACTTTAGGTCAATGGGAAGTGGCTTTTGCTGTTGTATACCCCCTGAAAAGGGGTATTGAGAGCAGAGCCCGCAAAAAGAAAGCAACACTTGACAAGGCTGACTACACCTCGACCAAAACAGGGACCGCTGTGTTCGGGGGTAGGTTCGTATGTTTTTGTTTACCCCTCAAGCACTTGAGGTGCTCAATAGATTCTCCAGGGGCCATTTGATTCATGCGTCAGGGGCTCACCTTGATTTGAAGACGGACGCAGCTTCTCACAATCCCGTAATTATCTTGGCCCTTGGATTCAGTTCCCGCCAAGATACAGCAACCAGTGTCTTTCCTGCCCTTTCTGGGTCTCGAGTCTGATTCATGGGACTGTTGAAGTCACTTGAGGCATTGGCCAGGGTTCTTTCATTGGGCCCGACGTAGCCTTTGCTAAGGGGCTGGCAGCCATCACTGGTTTAATTCTGGTGGCTATCAAGAAGACCTCTGTGGATCACGTTCAAGCCACAGCAGGAAACCAGCCATTGGCCCTTTTTTCAAATGGTGATTCCCTTGGTTGCCTACAAAGCCGGGAGAATGGAGCCAGTGAGTTTGTAAGAGTCCAATCGGGGCTTCTGGGGGACGGGTCTTTCTTGAACCCCTTGTAGAGCCAAATGGGAAGCCATCCCTAACCACCAATCCAGAGAATGTTAGGAGAGACTGGGGCCCCTTAGCCCCCAGCTACCCCCCCAGTTTCTCAGAACTCTTCTACTTTCCCTAAGAAGGGTGAGAACGGGGCCCAGGTGTTTATCGTACATGAGGGAAGCTGAGGTTCTGAAATCCAGGTCCTTGTAGGTTTGGGTTCTGTGTTGAGCTTGCCAAGTTACGAAGCATATCGCTCAGGGACTCCGGGATCGAAAGCGGCTGGAAAATAATGTTGCCCTTCGCAGATGTGCCCAATGCCTCTTGCTTCGAATTGCGCGGCTTGGTTCTGGGGAAGGGAAGGCGTCAGGGTTCTCCATATGCATGGGAGGCCGGGTGTAAACATTCGAAAGGTCAGTGTTTGGGTAAACTGCAAATCCCCAAGGTTCCAAGTGGTCTTTGGTTAGATCTTTTGAAGACTCTTGGGTGTCTTTCATGACAAAGGCTGAATGATATTGAGCTGGCAGATACCATCAGGAATCAGAACCGAGCATCTCAGGGGCCAAAGCCAACCCAGGGCCCAAAATCTGATTGGCCAATTTTGTAGGTTCTACTGGTTGTAGTGAGGCCTGTATAAACATTCATAAGGATATTGCCAAGTCAAATGCGCCACAATCAAAGTCCGGGTCGATGAAGGTTAGTAAGGGAAAGTCCCAGCCAGAATTAGTTGCGGCCGCCTTCTTAATTCTTTATATGATATAAATATGGTTCTGGGATTACGACCATTTTGATACAAAGGGTTTTGATTATGACTCAAATTGAGCGCCCTGCTCTGTGTTTGTTGCCCACCAAAAGCCGGGTGGCTGAATCGGCTGAATCCCTCAACAGCAGCTCCAAAAGCGCAAAGGGGCAACCAAGACCTACTGGTCCCATGACTTGCTGGTGCTCAGTAGGGAACCTGGGAATGAACCCAAGGATTTTTTTAAGAGCCTTCAAGGAAGCCACCAGTTGGATGGGTTTTTTTCAGGGCCATTCCATTTCTCATTCCCTGCCTTTGCGCCAAGATGATGCTCAGGGATCAGTGAGTTGGACGCAGGCGATGAGCGCGTTTGAGCTGGAGCACACCGTTTGGAGCCTTTGAAGGGCGCATTTGCGTGTTTTACCGGGCCAGGAAGCCTTTCCGGCGGCGTAGAGAGAGATGGGCCATGGTCAAAACACCCCCCCTTTTCGAGGTATCAGGGATGGTTATTTATTTGGGAAGGATCCAGAAAATAGCTATTAATATGTATGGTTCCTATGAAGGACCATGACCAAATCCGCCTAAGAGTTTTGACCATGGTGCATATCACTCGGGTCCACTGGGGTCTCAAGGATACCCCATCAACCAACATAAAAGCAACGGCCTTGGAACCCCAAAAAATCGCCGCCAGGGGAAGGAAGCTGAGTTCATAACAGAAAAGCGGCAAGCTCACTTCCGAGGGCAAAATCTCACCCTGTGCCATGAACCTTCGCGGATTCCTTGTTTCGGGTTGCGGAAGCCTAGAACTTACCGTTCTGTCCGGTTTCAATCCACATGGATCCTATGGATCGACGAATGCACGCAAGATGTGACAGGTCGGGGGGTACTTTGGAACCCTGGGTTCTCCATAAGCTTGGTCGGACTGGATATTTTACTTGCTGGAGAGTCAAGGGGATTTCCAAGTATGGGCATTCAAGAAATGCAAGTCATATACCACTTGCACCAGGCGTAAAGATTGCGTTACAAGCTTATATTGGTGTTTACGCATCCATACCTCCAAACAAATGCCTTGAGATATGCCGAACCCAAAGTTACCGAACCGGGCCGCAAGTGATGGCTGGCAATTCACTCCAAAGGCGCTGGTGAGGCCCAATGGTTTGTTTGCTTTAACAGCAAAGCTGTCCTCTTTAGTTGCGTGTTGAGCGCATTTCTCATTTTAGCATTGCCAGGTTCAGTCCTCTCTTTGGTCTAGCGTCCAAACAGCCTGCCCTCAGTTTGTTCCAGGTTCATGCCTCATTTGGTCAGGGGCCAAACGCAGATTAGGTTTTCTGGAGTTGGTACCCATTTCAATCCTCACTTTAGTCGAGGAGCCAAACAAGAGTATTGCCTAGGTTTGTTACCACCCTAAGCACCTTGAACCCAAAAAGGCATCTCATTTGAGGCAAAACCTTGAAATGGAGGTCTGTTCTCCAATGAAGGGTTGCTGATTGCAGTGGCATTCCTCACTTCAAGTCAAAGAATACCAAAGGAATGAGCATAGAGGCTTCATATCCTTCCAGGTTTTCTTGGTTTCCGGTTTGTCTCTTCTTACCAAAGAGGTTTCCCAGTTTCAATCGCCATAACTCGACCCGCCCATCCGGGAGCCTTCCTGGCCCACGCGAATCGCTTGAAGGGAGCCAAAAATCGCCACCTGGCGATGCCGGGAACGGGCCAGTGCGCTGAAACAGCCATTGCCAGACATAAAAGTGATGGGTACTGGGATATTTTCCGGGATGAGCAAAACACATTCAAACAAAGGCTCGCACCAGAGAATACGCAGTTGCAAAAGCCGACATTTTCAACTTTTGGTTTTCCCTGTTTGGTCCATTTTTGGTAAAGGTGCCAAACGATGAAGGTTTTATTTCTGGGTCCTTTGGGCAAGTGAGAAAATACCTTCCAGTGAGTCGCAAGGTATTTGACCCCCCAAGAAACAAAAGGTGGTTGAGTTGTTTATACTTATTCGGTTGGATCTTTGGGCTTTAACTTTGTGGGAAACGTTGGAACCACAAAAAACAAACTTTTGCAGAAGGGTCTCGCCGGAAACCAAGTTCTGGGGTTTGTCTCAAAGGACTTCAAGATGGTACCCAACAAGGCGGAATCACCCGCTTACATGTTTTAAGACTTTCCGAAACACATGGCTTTGGGGTTATGTTCTTTCTCAGATTCGGAGCCTTGGGGCGCGGTTGGGGGGGGATATTGGTTTGAGGGTGTGAAAGGTCCCTTGTCGGTTCGTGGTAAAGTTCCGTCGTTGGTTTTTGGATTGACCCCAACACCATCCGCTTGATACTTGCCGTCCAGGCTTCATTCCACATTCAAGGCTCGCTGCTTTCAACATGCCGTTTCCCAGTTGCAATGTGTTTTCTGGAAAGCGGGGGGCCTATTGCCTATGAGAGACCTCGCGGTCTCTACTTCTGCTTTCTTGAGAGTTGGAGACCTTTAAGCGTCATGACTTCAATGCGGGTCGCCGGAGAATAGTGATCTTGAAGGGCAAGGCAACTTGGTGGGAGAAAGGTTAGGAGAGGGTACAGAACAAGGAGATCCTTGCAATTCAATGCTGGCAAGGCAATGTGAAACAATCCCGAGAGGGGATCTGATACCAAGTGCACTAGCCAGTGAGTTTGAAAGTCCGTTGGATGTCTCGCGGTCGTCAAGCTTCTGACGTGGGCTTGGCATGGACTTCAAGAAGATTTGTATGTCTCATGAGATTCACGCCTCGATTTGCGGGAGCCCCCAAACACGCCACTTCCCAAAAAGCGAAAACAGACAGAGGCTGGAGCATTTGCTGTGACATATGAACCGACTTGCGTCACAATATAGATTACAACTAGTTGGAACCATGGATATAAGCGAAGACACTGGGTTTAGTTCCCTCATAACTAACCATGGCTGCAATGAACTGCTCAAGTGGATTGATTCAGGCACACCGGGTTCCCATGCCTTACTGGCTTGTGCGCTGGCCAATGACTCCAGCAGGTATTTGTAGATTCGGATTAGCATCCTCCAAAACTATGTCATATTGCAGTATAGCCCAAGTTTGCACAAGCTCAAAGCCCTTATTTTCTGTCAACTGCCCCTTTCCCATCGTTTGGAGGGTGGACAACTCCCTTTGATCTGGCAACCCTTAGGTTTCACTTGGTCTTGGGATTTGACTGCTTGGAATGAGAAGCCACGCAGTCTGTCAAGCATATTCCATAAACCCCAACCCCAATCGCTCAAACCGCAAAGCAAAGCCTGGGCAGTTCCTTCCCCTACCTTGTTAAGTTTTTGGTTGGTTTAGTGGGGGGCTTCCATTTAACCCGCTAGAAATTAAGCTTTTAGAAGGGGATTTGAGGACAGCCCAAAAACCAATCACCGACAAAAAAGACGGGCTGATCAAACTTTGCAAAAACGCGCCCCGAAATCCAGAGTTTTTGCCCAAGTGTTTTTGTGCCCGTTCCATTTGCAGCGTGTTCCTGCAGAATTGTCAAGCCATTGTTAGCGTGTGTGTGTGTGCGTAGCATGTTTCTGGTACATGTCCAGTATTGCTTAGCACATGGCAAAGTTGTAATATATTTCTTGTACATGTGTAGTAACTTAGTATGTGTTTACTGTGTCTACCGCATATGTATATATATATATATTTACATACACATATATATATATATACATAATGTGTGTATATATATATATATATGCTGGGCAAATATCATGCATGTTCTGATATTTCAAGGCAGGCTAAATGAATCAGAATCTGAAAAGCTGATTTTCTGTGTACCCCAGAAGTGGGGCAAGTGCCCTGATCACACCCTTTTGCTTTGGTAGTGGTCTTGGCCATGACAAAGGTCAACCCTCAACCCAGCTGTTTTGGTGTTTCCATTTTGTTGGGTCACCGGGGGACCGTTCAGATGTCGTCAGTGCAATTCGCCAATGCGCTTTACGTTGGAGGATCCGCTTGCCATGGGTTCAGCCCATGGAACCCACACTGAGCTCATCGCGGGCGGAGAATGATTTTTGTGCAGGCACCATGGTGCAGTTTGTGCTCAGCCTTAGTGGCAAGCGACTGGAGGTAACCAATGCGACCGGCAACATGCAACAAGTACCCCTACTCAAAATAATTTCCTTTTTCTATTTTCAGGTATTATGTCAACAAAGACTACTGAGGTAAATGTAAAGTCTTTGGAGTAGGGGCTACTAAACAACAACTGAAAACGCCACTTTGACGGGGCAAGCTTCAGAGTGACCCCAACACCCTAATTATGGGCTTCTGAAGCACCTTTCCAGAATGCGGGTAGGGAAGTAATGATCGAAGTAATGCATGGAGGGGGGCAAACGCCAGGCTTTTCTTTCAAAAAAGAGGTTGGGGATGTTCGGCCGAAATATCAGAATTCGCGAGGGTCCCTTAAAGGACCAATGACTTTTCCAAAGCTTTTGCCTTTTTGAACGGATATTTGGAAGGATATATGGGAAGTTTCCCTTTTTGCAGTTCCTTTTTGAAGGAATTCTATGGATAGTTCCCATATTCTCAGCGGCCTTTGGACCCAGGGCCCAGACGTCTCCAATGGCGAACCCGAACCGATCAGGCCCTTGCAGTTAGGGTCGCTATACAGCTTGGCCAATTCACTAAGCGTGTCAATGGGGTGTTCATGACCCCTTTGGGGCAGTTAATGACCCATTGTTTGAGGGCCATGGAGACTCTATCCAGAAAGGCTCGTTCGGAGTCGAATTGCTCCTTAAGGCTGGGTTTTGAAAAAACCTCAGGCTTCATTCGACCGAGCGACTGGTTACCTCGCGGTCCTCTAGGCTCGGAACTCCTGGGAACTCGAATGTGCTTGGCCCGAAGCTCATGGAAGCGGAGGAGGGTCCCGGAGATCACTCTTGAACAGAGGCTGGGTAACAAGAAAAAAATCGCCACTCTGGAGTCTCTTTTTTTTCTGAGCCTTAAACAATGCTTGGTCATTACGAAAAGAAAGGGGTCATTACCCCGAGTTTAAAGCATCAGCAGGAGACTCTAGGCACCCCTGAAAGACTAAAAGTGAACATGGCGAAGGAACATGGCGCTGGTGAGTCTTGCAACGTTCTTCCAGAGCTATCGAATCGAATCGCTGGAAGATGGCACTCTCCTCATTTTGGTTTGGTGTCATCCCCACACAAAGGGAGGTGGGTACCTATTGTTTAACGATTTGAAATAAACTCTTCAGGCAGATGTGGCTTTTCACCTGCCATCTACTTGATCTTCTACTTCATCCTGGTGTAAGCGATCGTTGGTAAGGGACAATCGCCTTGAAATAAATCATAGATGCGGTTGCTCGCCCTTTCAATTCATTCCATGGGCTGCCGAAGAGCAAAGCAGGGAGAATGGCTGAAATCCGTATCTCGCAGGCTGA